AGTTCAGCCCAAACCCAGAGTTATTCCCAGTATCCCCAGCGGAGAGTGAGGAGTTCAGCCCAAACCCAGAGTTATTCCCAGTATCCCCAGCCGAGAGAGAGGAGTTCAGCCCAAACCCAGAGTTACTCCCTGTATCCCCAGCCGAGAGAGAGGAGCTCAGCCCAAGCTCAGAGATATTCCCAGTGTCCCCAGGCGAGGAGTGAGGAGTTCAGCCCAAACCCAGAGTTATTCCCAGTGTCCCCAGCCGAGGAGTGAGGAGTTCAGCCCAAACCCAGAGTTATTCCAGTATCCCCAGCCTAGAGTAAGGAGTTCAGCCGAAACCCAGAGTTATTCCCGTATCCCCAGCGGAGAGTGAGGAGTTCAGCCCAAACCCAGAGTTATTCCCAGTATCCCCAGCGGAGAGTGAGGTGTTCAGCCCTAACCCAGAGTTATTCCCAGTATCCCAAGTGGAGAGTGAGGAGTTCAGCCCAAACCCAGAGTTATTCCCAGTGTTCCCAGCCGAGAGAGAGGAGTTCAGCCCAAACCCAGAGTTACTCCCAGTATCCCCAGCCGAGAGAGAGGAGCTCAGCCCAAGCTCAGAGTTATTCCCAGTATCCCCAGCTGAGAGAGAGGAGTTCAGCCCAAGCCCAGAGTTATTCCCAGTATCCCCAGCTGAGAGAGAGGAGTTCAGCCCAAGCCCAGAGTTATTCCCAGTATCCCCAGCCGAGAGTGAGGAGTTCAGCCCAAGCTCAGAGTTATTCCCAGTGTCCCCAGCCGAGGAGTGAGGAGTTCAGCCCAAACCCAGAGTTTTTCCCAGTATCCCCAGCGGAGAGTGAGGAGTTCAGCCCTAACCCAGAGTTATTCCCAGTATCCCAAGTGGAGAGTGAGGAGTTCAGCCCAAACCCAGAGTTATTCCAGTATCCCCAGCGGAGAGAGAGGAGTTTATCCCAAACCCAGAGTTATTCCCAGTATCCCCAGGCAAGAGTGAGGAGTTCAGCCCAAACCCAGAGTTATTCCCAGTATCCCCAGCCGAGAGTGAGGAGTTCAGCCCAAACCCAGAGTTATTCCCAGTATCCCCAGCCGAGAGTGAGGAGTTCACCCCAAGCTCAGAGTTATTCCCAGTGTCCCCAGCCGAGGAGTGAGGAGTCCAGCCCAAACCCAGAGTTATTCCCAGTGTCCCCAGCCGAGGAGTGAGGAGTTCAGCCCAAACCCAGAGTTATTCCAGTAACCCCAGCCTAGAGTAAGGAGTTCAGCCGAAACCCAGAGTTATTCCAGTATCCCCAGCCTGGAGTGAGGAGTTCAGCCCAAACCCAGAGTTATTCCCGTATCCCCAGCGGAGAGTGAGGAGTTCAGCCCAAACCCAGAGTTATTCCAGTATCCCCAGCAGAGAGAGAGGAGTTCAGCCCAAACCCAGAGTTATTCCAGTATCCCCAGCGGAGAGAGAGGAGTTTATCCCAAACCCAGAGTTATTCCCAGTATCCCCAGGCAAGAGTGAGGAGTTCAGCCCAAACCCAGAGTTATTCCCAGTATCCCCAGCCGAGAGTGAGGAGTTCAGCCCAAACCCAGAGTTATTCCCAGTATCCCCAGCCGAGAGTGAGGAGTTCAGCCCAAGCTCAGAGTTATTCCCAGTGTCCCCAGCCGAGGAGTGAGGAGTCCAGCCCAAACCCAGAGTTATTCCCAGTGTCCCCAGCCGAGGAGTGAGGAGTTCAGCCCAAACCCAGAGTTATTCCAGTATCCCCAGCCTAGAGTAAGGAGTTCAGCTGAAACCCAGAGTTATTCCAGTATCCCCAGCCTAGAGTGAGGAGTTTAGCCCAAACCCAGAGTTATTCCCGTATCCCCAGCCGAGAGTGAGGAGTTTAGCCCAAACCCAGAGTTATTCCCAGTGTCCCCAGCCAAGAGTGAGAAGTTCAGCCCAAACCCAGAGTTATTCCAGTATCCCCAGCAGAGAGAGAGGAGTTTATCCCAAACCCAGAGTTATTCCCAGTATCCCCAGCTGAGAGTGAGGAGTTCAGCCCAAACCCAGAGTTATTCCCAGTATCCCCAGCTGAGAGTGAGGAGTTCAGCCCAAACCCAGAGTTATTCCCAGTGTCCCCAGCTGAGAGTGAGGAGTTCAGCCCAAACCCAGAGTTATTCCAGTATCCCCAGCCGAGTGTGAGGAACGGGGGGATGCAGAAAACTGTCGAGGTCACTAGTTGAGCCAGCTCTTGGCTGTGTATCTCTCTTGAGACTCGAGCTGATTAGATAGACTGTTTGAACGTACTCCTACCGAACTCTGTTTATAATTTGTCGCTTGAATTCTGCAATCTCTTGAAATGCAGACATGTAAGACAATTAGCTGAATATACTAGTTTAATTAGTGACACTTAGCCTACATTTTAAAACCTTTATTTGAATATGGCAACATTTTTATTTTGAAATATTAATTTAAATTATGGCAAAATGATACCTTGTTCTACAATATTTATATCACTGACAGAGACTCCTCCCCCAACAGCCAATCACTGTGGTCATATTTAGTAAGCTTGTTGACATCATCCATAGCAATGCGGTGAACCCCGCCCTTTCTCTTAGCTTAAGACTTCTCTCTGTTCCTTGGAAAAAGTTGGTCTCAGCAGCTTTGTGAACAGGGTTTACGAGAAAACTCTTAACCCTCTGGGGCTGACAAACGCGTCAGGCGTTTTGCTGGATTTTTTTCACATAGCAGCAAAATAGACTTAAAATACTCCTTCATTTATGGTCCTACAGACTTAAGAAATGTTAAATAATAAACTGTATAATGTCTACTTTGTATGTGTCCACTTACAATCGAAACAAAACATTGTGCTTTTGTAAAATAAAGAAAATAAACAGGGTGTGCTTTCTGCCTCTCCTTCTCCGTGAACTGTTTTTCTGGAGCACGTCTCTAAACTTAAACAAAACAACAAATATTCTCTGTTTATATAATCTGTATGAAAAGAGAGATATTTCAGTCGTTCTCATGTCGTTCTCAATATTGAAACGCAAATGATCTGAGGCAATTCATGCAAACCTGTCAACGCACACATCAGGTCGATAAAACTCATCAAGTTTAATCAGATTCATGTACTTTACGTCGTCTTGCTTGGCTGTGAGGAAAAATAAAAGCAAAATAGTAGTATTTTTCCTGGAAAATTTGACCTGAGAAGTGCTGGTATCGGTTTCCTTTCGAGGAGCAACGGATCCAGCAGAGGATTGTGAATAGTAAGTTCTTTATTCTTAAGTGGTTGGTTCTAATCGCGATATATTGTCTGTAAACCGCAAAAGACTGTTTAAATATGAATCCCGTGCCTATGTGTGAATGAGTGGTACAGATGCGCGCTGTTGTTTACTACAGGCACTTACATTAGTAAACATGTTATTTTTACCTGAACATTAACACATCTACTAGTTTAGCTTTTCCCAAACTATATTGCTATACCGAGGAGTAAAAATCGACTGAAATATGTTGAAATAAAATGTCTTTGTATAAGCAACATATTGAACTGCAATATAACATTATGCCCTATATTAATATATCATAAAAACGAAATATGATTGTTTAGACAAGATTTTGTTGACTAGTTTTGGATAGATTAAAAAGTTTTACTGTAAAATAGACTACTGCCACATCAAATAAGCTTTTGTTCGCCAATTTATGCTCATATGTTAAATATATAGTATGGGATGTTTTGTCAAAAATAATATAGGTATATTGAATTATCAACTAAGAAATGTATATTCAAACTAATGAATCCTTAACTTTGAAATACGTATGATAAAATGTTTTATACAAAGAAAGATTACACTTGAAATTTTGTTAAAATAGTTGTTGTTGTGGATTTACGTGTGAAAACTTTTTAATAAAATAGGTAGATGTAAACAAAATCTTAATAGGTCAATATAAGCCTTCTCATTAAATTATGTATTATTGTGTTTTATTAGTGACAAATTTGGGAAGAGGATAAATATTCCAAAACTTTCTGAAAATACAGTATGATAATTAACTGCACAATTACTAGAAATGTTTACCTTGGATATTATACAATTTGCATGCATACAAAATTTGTCGAAAAAGACACATTTTTTTCTAGATGTTTTGAACTCTAACTTTGAACCAATTCTGTAGAATGGCCCATATAGCCTATTTGAACAGGATTTGTTTCCAGGTATGACTGTGTACTCAAAATGTGCTTTTGACTTTCATTTACATTTGGATTAAATTGTTAACTATATTCTAAAAACACAACAAGCAAAAGCAATATATAATCTTTTGTCCTCACATTCTTTAGTTCCCTCTCAGTAACATACCTGACTGAAAGGCTCATTATGCAGCTCATTATGCAGCTCATTATGCAGCTCATTATGCGGCTCATTATGCGGGTCATTGTCTTCTCAAGTGTGAATCACAGCATTATTCATGATCGTTCACGCCCCCACGCATATTGCCTTTCTAAACAAAAAGTGTTTTACAAAATTTAAATCAATGTATTGTTTTATGTGAATGAGTAAGCAGGATGATTTTCAGATTACTTTTAAGCAAAAACTCTTGGCAACAACATTCATTAGTCAAAAGTCTTGTGGACAGATATTTAGTATGTGTTTTGTGGCCTTATTTCAGAAACTTTACTGTTTTTTCAAAAACTATGCTTAAACATTATTATCTCAAAAATACAAACATGTACATACATGTTGCTCACATATTATGGTAGCCCTGTTTGTGCTAAATAGAGTGTAATGACACCTTTGCCATTAATATGTTTATGATCAACTGAAAAAAAAGCACAAATGTCAGGGCATGTCAAAACATCTCAAGGACCCCAAAAACACCTTAGACCCCAGAGGGTTAACTAAGAACTTTCACTGCCATTTAGGAGAACACTTAGTGGTAAGATGAAATGTTTTGTGAATACGGCCCCAGATCTATGCATTAAGACTTGCAGTGTAAAAGCAGGCCTAGTTTGATCTTGCAGTAATTCTGTGGATTGAAGCATGAGGAAAAAATGCAGATTGAAGGAGGCCCTTACCTATGTGCTCTCCACAAGAGTCACAGTATTCTGCATAAAGTGACTCAAAGCAGTTGCAGCAGTGAGGATGACCCTCACGCATGATGTACCGCTGACCACCTAGTGGAGCCTCACACTCATAACAGCAGAAATGCCTCATGTGCCAGTGCTGTCCCTCTGCTTCTGTGCACTCATCTGCGAAGATAATCTACAAAAGAGAGAGATTTATTAACATCATGCGTGTGTGCATTTATGTTCACAATTTATGTGAGGGATTTTATATTCTGAAGCAGGGCTTCTGGGTACTGACATGTCACAGGTCACCCACTGGAATGTTTAAGAATGCAAACAGAATAAAGGTTGATTTCAGACATTGGACAAATGCTTGGATTCTACATGGTCAGCTTACCTCATCACATGCTGAGCAACGTGGCTTAATTCGTTCAGCATGGTGGCGGCCACAGTAGATCTTGCCATCCAGGTGGAAGTAGATGAGATCTACCAATAGCTCGCAACACACGCTGCACACAAAACAGTGGGGGTGCCAACACAGGCCATGGCCAACCCGCGAGGCCAACACTGCAATATCGCCACCATTGATCTGGTCTCTGCACTGTGTGAGAGGGACATTTTGTCATTTGCTGCTTGTTGCACCTTAAGACAGGGACACACCTTTTCCATTTCTGAGCGCCGACCGACAGATTTTTTTTGGCCAATTTAACACATAGAATCGTTGGTGAGAGAGAGAACTCTGATTGGCTGTTCCGTTTAGCGAACAAGAAAAAGAGCAAAAGTGATGAAAGCGAGCAAAGAAGTCATGACGGCACAGAAAGAAGGCTGTTCTAATTTGACGTCATCTTACGTGAGCATTCCACTGCGCGAATATTTTCATAATAACATGAGCGGAGTGGAATAAAGAACGTGATCATCATTTGGATATTCAGAACGGTAAGCAAGCACTGCTTTGTTTATGGTTTGTATACATGCAGTCTTAGTTCGCTTTCCCTGTTAGAACGTCGAATATAGACTAATATATCTGCTAGAATAGACAGTTATCTCCTTTTCACGCAGGCATGGAACGCACATGCTAGTTGACAGTCGCCTGTAGTCGTTTCGGTGTGTTCAAGCACGGACTTTTTAAGGCGACAACAGTAACACAGACAACACAGTCGGCTTTCATCAGCGCTAGTTCTTTGCCGCTTGGTTTGGTGTGTCCCTACCTTTATTGTGCAGCCTATAATATGCAGTGTAACATGCAATCATTACTGAAATATATACTGAAACATTTTTACTACATCTGCATGGCTACTCATTTTTGTTAATCCAGTTCACTAGTCCAGAAAAGATGTTGATAGGTCGATGAGTTAATGTTTAATTTATGCAAATGACTGCCGGTCTGGCGGCTATGGAGAGATTACGTGCACATCTCTAAGATAATGAGGGTGAAAAACAAAAGCTTGCATATCTCCACTAAAAGACTATTACTGCCTGCATTGTTATGAATGGTTCAAAAAACATGTCCTGTTCCAATCGCTTATATTTTGTGCCAGTCTCTGGCTTGCTGTTATTTAGGACTCGCATGTACCTGTTCACATATAGCTCCAGCTATAGTGAGGGGTAGAGGTCGGACAGTGCCTCTGCCTAGATTGTCTCTTTTTCGCTGGTTACTGAAGATCTTCAATTCCCGCTTTTCTTCTTCATCCAGTGAGGTACAGTACCGAACCTGACATCAGAAAGTATCATCAGTAAGCAAGCATCATTATAGATCATCTGAATTCTTATTGGATGAGCCTCATGCAATGCCAGTATAAAATGCAGATGAACCTGTGACTGCACATTCAATTCTAATGCGCCAAATAGCAACCTTCCTTTTCAGTCATAAACAGCTATGATTAGGGTTGGGTATCGTTTGAATTTGAACGATTCCAATTCCGATTCCGATTCCTTGTTTTGATTCCGGTTCCTAACGATTCTCGATTCCGATTCTTTTAAGAGGCGGGGTCAAAAAAGTTAAGGATATTTTAAATGAGCTAGCTAACCAACAGTCTTTCTGAAGGAAATAGTCTGACCTTCTCCATCAATTTTAATTCTATGAACTTTTAACTTTTTATGAACTTTACTATGAATTTCTCACAGGGCTGTTTTCAACTACAATATAAATATCAAATCTATGAACTTGAATATAAATATTATAAATTATGAATATATTTTCACAGGGGTACACTTTCCTCAAGAGAGCTTTATTTTTGAAAACCTAATGAAAACACATTTACACATGAGTGTATGATGCTGCAGATACTTGAGCATGTTACCATGCTCCCACTGAAGGGCTAACCTAGGGCTGTCAAAATTGCTCAAAAATGACGTTCGAATATTCCCTCTAAAGAAACCACATATATTCGAACTATTTGAACATCTGGTTGCGCATTTTGTCAATGACGCGCATTACGTCAATAACAGGACAAATTAATACAAAGAGACATAACTACTTGTATAGGTAGTTTAAGTTTAAACATATTTGACAACGTATTAACTTACACAAAAAAAAGTAAATCAACTAATGGCCAAGACCGCAGACCTCACTCTCGCTCAACCGCAGGCTCTCTCTCTCTCTCGCCCTCAAGCTCTCTGCGCATAACGGTTTAAATGAACAACAATAAACAAATGTTGAGTGCTGGATCAAGAGTTTTGTGCAAGCAAATTAAGGTCACGACTCTTGTCCTAAATATAGCAGGCTTCATTCAGTGATTGAAACAAATATTATTAACATTAATTGGAGTTTTACAGTATATATAACCGACATTGATCGCTCCGAGCGAGCTGTGGTAAACTGCTGCTATAATCAGTGTTGCCAACTATTTTCAAAGGAAAGTAGCTAAGGTCTTCCCTAAAAGTCGCTAAATGTTGCTAGATGACGTCATACGTCAATTAGCATATTAATGACGTCATCGCGTCGTACTTTCGTTCTGTCAGCCTAGTGCATTTTCTCTTTAAATTAATGCTCTATTAGTCTATTTAATATAATATAGCCGAATGTCAAATAAAGCTGTTTTCATTTCCTTTTTTTTGTTGTTGTCAGACAATAGAACAAGTAGCTGTAATATATATGATTACATTTTGTAAAGGCCTATGTGGAACATTATCTGAATTGAGAGAGTTAGGGAACCGGATGAACTAATCTCTGTGATAGTGAGTGTTACAAGTAATAAGCACAAGAAAATAAATAAAATGAAAATGGTCAAACTAAATTCTTTAAATATAAAACAAAAGAAAAGCAGATAAGTGATAAGTCCGTGGAAAAACACTGCTCATTCGCGTCTGTCAGCGGCCGTGCGCTCCTCTCAGCCATTCACTGAACAGGGGAGACGCAGCTAGAGAGAGTGACGACAGGGAGAAAGCAAGACCTCGTGCTCGCAGGACAGGACTGGCAACATTTGGAGGTTACTGAGGTTTGTCCAAAAAGTCGCTAAAATTGTCGCTAGTCGCTTTTTTGAAAAAAATGTCGCTAAAGGGGTCTGAAAAGTCGCTAAAAATAGCGACAAAGGCGCTAAGTTGGCAACACTGGCTATAATGGCTATTTTTTCGGGGGCGTCGGGCCACGCCCCCTTGGCGGACTCTGACGTGTATGATGTAATGCTAGCTCATTGGCGCACACGTTGGAGGCGCCCGCACCATTGGATGTGCAGTTGCCGCAACACAGCCAATGAGTGAGCCAGACACTCACAGTGCTAGCTGTGCAGCTGGAAAATGCGTTTTGCCACTCGCAAAGCAGACAGCCGCGCTTCTGCTACCGCGGGCGTGTCCGGTCGGCGGACTGTGAATCGAAACTAGGAATCGAAATTTAAACTTTTGAACGATTCCGGGAAAATCGAAAAGCTAGTCCCGGTTCCAATCGATACTCGATACTCGATACCCAAGCCTAGCTATGATTAAGTTACACTAAACAAAATTATAAGCGCAACACTTTTGTTTTTGCCCCCATTTTGCATGAGCTGAATTTAAAGATCTAAGCCTTTTTCTATGTACACAAAAGGCCTATTTCTCTCAAATATTGTTCACAAATCTGTCTAAATCTGTGTTAGTGAGCACTTCTCCTGTGCCGAGATCATCCATCCACCTCACAGGTGTGGCATATCAAGATGCTGATTAGACAGCATGATTATTGCACAGGTGTGCCTTAGGCTGGTCACAATAAAAGGCCACTCTAAAATGTGCAGTTTTACTGTATTGGTGGTGGTGGTGTTGGTGGTGGGGTTGTTGATTGTAGCCTGCGGAATGTTGGTTCACTCCTCTTCAATGGCTGTGCGAAGTTTCTGGATATTGGCAGGAACTGGAACATGCTGTCGTATACGCCGATCCAGAGCATCCCAAACACATTCATTCATGCCGACTGCAGGAGTGTCCACCAGAGCTGTTGCTCATGAATTGAATGTTCATTTCTCTACCACAAGCGTCTCCAAAGGCGTTTCAGGGAATTTGGCAGTACATCCAACCGGCCTCACGACCGCAGACCATGTGTTACCACACCAGCCCAGGACCTCCACATCAGCATCTTCACCTCCAAGATCGGTGTTGATCGAGTGGCCCATGGTGGCGGTGGGGTTATGGTACGGGCAGGCGTATGTTATGGACAACAAACACAGGTGCATTTTATTGATGGCATTTTGAATGCACAGAGATACCGTGACGAGATCCAGTGTTGTGCCATTCATCCACAACCATCACCTCATGTTGCAGCATGATAATGCACGGCCCCATGTTGCAAGGATCTGTACACGATTCCTGGAAGCTGAAAACATCCCAGTTCTTGCATGGCCAGCATACTCACCGGACATGTCCCCCATTGAGCATGTTTGGGATGCTCTGGATCGGCGTATACGACAGCGTGTTCCAGGTCCTGCCAATATCCAGCAACTTCGCACAGCCATTGAAGAGGAGTAGACCAACATTCCATAGGCCACAATCAACAACCTTTTTTTCTTTTTTCGGGGCGGTACCCCCCGGACCCCCCAATACACATTTTAGAGTGGCCTTTTATTATGGCCAGCCTAAGGCACACCTGTGCAATAATCATGCTGTCTAATCAGCATCTTTATGTGCCACACCTGTGAGGAGGACGGATGATCTCGGCTCAGGAGAAGTGCTCACTAACACAGATTTAGACAGATTTGTGAACAATATTTGAAGAAATAGGCCTTTTGTGTACATAGAAAAAGTCTTAGATCTTTGAGCTCAGCTCATGAAAAACAAAAACAAAAGTTTTGCGTTTATAGTTTTGTTCAGTGTATGAATGAACTACATTTCTTTGCACAGGTATTATTTATTCATATTATTGCTATTAATAAATATGCTTTTTTATAATATTTGTGTATATTATTTTTATAATATTTACTCCACTTTGTCTAAGAAAACCCTCTACCTGTGGTCAAATCCTTATAACATACAGTATCAAGTGGTGTTTTGTTTTATGAAGCACATTTTTACATAGATTTTGTTGTAGATCCTAGGATTGCAGATTAATAAATCTTTAACCTGTAAACAGTTGCAATTGCATTTAAAACTGCAAATGGGGAATTAAACCTACACAGTTTCCCTAAAGACCAGAAACTGGCTATAATTTATGTTTAACTATGAAGTGCCCTGTGTAAATAATTTACATGACTTTACTTCAAAAATTGACAATATAGTGCAAATTGGGGCAACTGTTTTATCAAAGAGCTTGGGATCTGATTTAAAAATCACAAGATAATTTCTGACCAAAGTAACACACCGTTTATTTGTGTATGTATACAATTGTAATGCAGGACACAAGTTGAGTTCTAAAGGTGGAGTCACTCTAGACGAGTTCTTTTTCATTTACACTCATATGGCCCTATTTTAACGATCTGAAACGCAAGTATCAAGCGCGAAGCGCAAGTAACTTTGTGGGCGGGTCTTGGGCGCTGTTGCTATTTTACCGGAAATAGCTTTATTATTCATAGGTGTGGTTTGGGCGTAACGTGAAATAAACCAATCAGAGCGTCATCCAACACACCCTTTAACCCTCTGGGGTCGGCCGGCGACCCCAGATCTAACAGATTACTCTGTTGATTTTGATCTTACATATAAGTGTTGTACATCATTCGATCCTGTTAAGTGTCTATTTTTTTTGTGGGTACTCACAATAAAAACAAAGTGTTGTGCTTTTCGTCAAATAAAGAAAAATAAACCTGATGCGCGTTTTGCCTTTTCTCTGTCAGTAAAGTCCATTCTGAAACGCGTCCGAAAAATTAACTATAACTCAGTCAATACTTGTCACAGAGATACGAGAGATTTCTCTTTATGAAGCTGCAATTCTCTTCTTTTAAATGAAGTAATTTATTTTAAAAATATATATTTCCAGTTTATGTAATCCGTTTGAAACCAAGGAGAGGTACAGTTTTTTCGTTCTCCCTTCATTATCTTTAATGAGCTGAGGCCGCCACGCCCCCAGAGCTTTTCACATGGTAAATAGGTGATCTAACGTTATGCATCGCACACGCCCAGCAGCGATCAATGGCATAATAACACGTTTCTTCATCAGATTCACTGATAGTTCATCGCATTTTGAGAATGGCACGCTACTCCTTCAGAGGAACTTTTTCACCTTTTCCTCAGAGAAATTTGAAACTCGGACGACGAACGGCTGCATTTTGAAGAACGAATTGAACCCGCTGAGGATACAAGTTCGGAGTAAGTTGTTTA